GAGTGAGCCCTGGGACCCATGTAATGGAAGAAAAGAATCACTTGTCCTCTGGGCCGGGTGGAGGTGGCGCATGACTTTAGGCCAGCCTGGTCTACAGAGCAAGTTCAGGACAGGAAAAGCTACTCAGAGAAACCCTGCCTCAAAAGCCTCCTCTCAAATTAACATTTATTTGTGTATGTGGGGGAAGGCACATAAGCAGAGAGGGATGGAAAAAGTCAAAGAAGCCAGCCTCTCTTTTGGAATGCTAGGAAAGCTTCCAGTTATGCTAAAAGGGAGTCATAAACCGACTGCTCAGAAAAGTGCTTAGAAGCTATAAGATACTTAACTAGACCTTCTTTTGCATATTAATGAAGGAAATTTCACCAGTTTTGCTCTAGAACCCCACTTTCTTTTCCTTTTGGATTTTCAAAACAGGGTTTGTCTAGGTAGGCCCCAAACTCACAGAGATCTGCCTGCGCTAGAAATAAAAATGTGTACACAGGCTGGAGAAGTGGTAGTTAAGAGCATGGGTTGCCTTTTTTGTTTGTTTCTGGAGGCAGGGTTCTGTGTTTCTGGAGGCTGTCCTGAAACTAGCTCTCGTAGACCAGGCTGGTCTCGAACTCACAGAGTTCACCTGCTTCTGCCCAGCCATGGGTTGCTCTTGTAGAGGACCAGGGTTTGGTTCTCATCTCCCACATGGTGGCTCACAACCATCAGTAATGCCAGTTCCAGGGGATCTGATGCCTCTTCTGGCTTCCTTGGGCACCAGGCATGTGCATGGTGTACATGCACACATGCAGGCAAACTACAAAATCTAAAAAAAACTAGAACCACAAAATCTAAAATATATACATATATATATTTAATTTTTAAAAATTATTTTTTGTGTGCATTGGTGTTTGCCTGTGTTAATGTCTGTGAGGGTATTGGATCCCCTAGAACAGGAGTTACAGATAGTTGTGAGCTGCCATGTGGGTTCTGGAAGAGCAGCCAGTGCTCTTAACCACTGAGTCATTTCTCCAGGCCCCCCCATATAATTTTTTTGGGGGGTTGAGACAGGGTTTCTCTGTATTGTTTTGGAGGCTGTCCTGGAACTAGCTCTTGTAGACCAGGCTGGTCTCGAACTCACAGAGTTTCTCCTGCCTCTGCCTCCAAGTGCTGAGATTAAAGGCATGCGCCACCACCACCTGGCCCCATATAATTTTTTAACTTAATTTTTTTTCTTTCGGTTTTATCTAGACAGGGTTTCTCTGTGTAACAGCTCAGGCAGTCTTGGAACTTGTTTTGTAGACCAAGCTGGTCTTGAACTCAGGTATCACCTGCCTCTGCCTCCGACTGCTACACCACCACTGCTTGGCTAACTTTTTTTTTTTTTTTTAATGCACACATTTCCATTGGCATCTGCAGCGCCTCCAGCTTTCTGTGCCGGGTCTGTTTAGTACCCTAATTTCCTCTAGGTTATTTCTGCCCTTGCCATCATCTGCTTTCCTTCTTCTCTTCTGGGTACCTTATCTTCCTGTCTTCCAGGGCCTTCGAAAGAGGTGTGGGCTAGCTTTGGGAGGAGAAGGTTAGCAGGCAGCATTGTGTCTCTTGTGACTTGTCCATCACCTTGGATCCATTGCCATTAATGTCCCCTCCAGTCTGGGCATATAGTGACAATGACAATAGGCACTGAACATGGAAATGTAGTGGATGTTGCTTTGGTAGGGGGTTCATTCTTGGTGATCACCCCCCCCCCCAGGACCCCTGTAGCCCAGACTGGCAACAAACTTGATTGGTAGCTATGGGTGGCCTTGAACTTCTGACCCTTTTGCCTCTGAGTCTTAAGTGTTGGAACCACAGGTATATACCACCATGCCCAGTTTGACAGCACATTTGATCAAATCATAGATACCAATCTTACTGAACAGAAGAAGTGATCCAGGGCTATCTCTAGTTGAGACTCAAGTCATTATGCACGGCAGAACATCCATAGTGATCTAGTCATGGGAGTGAAGACAGGCCCTATTAAGTAAAGGATATAGCTCTTGCAGAGGGTGTTACATCTTAATTGAGGAGGTGACTGTGCTAATTTATAAGAAAGCAAACTTCACAAGGTAATACAGGCTGCATGAGAAGCTTGCATCTTTTGGGAACCTTTGAAGGGCATGCTGTGGCATAGAAGCCAGTGTCACAGTTAGCTGCTCTTTTCCCATGCTGTCCTGCTTCATTTTTACAGGGCTTGGAGTAGAGGCAAGAATCTCCATTGCTCAGTTTAGGGCTAACTCTGAGTTGTAACTCAGACTGACAGTTGAGCAGAGAAGCAGAGCAAAGGGTTATTACAATTACAGGCTCTGAACCAGGTGTTGGCAGCCAGTTTTCTTTTCTAGCTGCGATTCTCACTGTCATCATTTAGTTGGTACTAGTCTGGTCATGAAGGGCAGTGGGAAATGCATGACATAAGTTAAGCTTTCAGCCAGAGCCTGATAACAGACCCTCAACAAATATTACCTCTTTGCTTGAACACCAGACTTGGAGGTTTTCTATGGAGGTCATAGTACCAGAAGTCCATCTGCCTGAGGTTGGCACGGTTGCCATGACCTGGTCTTAGCAGCTGGACAAGTGTCCCTGTCACCTCCGCCCCTTCCTGCACTCACCTAGGAATGCACAAGAGTCCTAGACCTGACTGAATAAGTTGGGGCAGGAAAGTGGCAAGGCTGATTAGTGGGCAACATGGCTGAGGCTGAACCCTAAAGTTGAGCCAAGCCCTGTCTCTGGGGTATGAGTTTCATGGGTCAGAGGCAGGGCTGATCTGGGAACCCTTGGGAGAGACACACCTGGCTCATTAGTGGATGTCTGGAGCTGTCTGAAGATGAAAAGCTCTATTGCACTCATTGTTTCTTTTTTATTTTTGGACAACCTTGTATTCAGTCTCCAGGGTCTGCTGATCTGACATCTATGCATTGGTCTGGAATTTGCTACAGATGAGTAGGGAAAACAAAACAGAACAAAATAAGCCTGAAGACGTTTTTGAAAAAGTGGCTAAACCCTCAGCAGACTTTGATGCTTACCTTGTAAATGGGTTCTTTCTTTGCCTTCTGGGTTGGGGGTGTCTCTGGTTTCTAGACTCTCTGGAGTGCCAGCAGCTGGCATGTGGTGATCGATGAATAGGCTGCCGCTGACACATGCCTCCTGAGGCACAGAGAACTGGCTGACATGGTGCTTCTGAACCCCCATTTCAGATTGTTTCAGGGTTGCATTTCTGAGTGGTGGGGCACGTCTGTAATCGAGTTCTTCCTGGGCACCTGAGACCCTAGAGTAAACATTGTAAGGTGGCTGGAGAAATGACTCAGTGGTCAAGAGTACTTGTTCTTTTTTTTTTTTTTTTTTTTTTTTTTTTTGGTTTTTCGAGACAGGGTTTCTCTGTGGCTTTGGAGGCTGTCCTGGAACTCACTTTGTAGACCAGGCTGGCCTTGAACTCACAGAGATCCGCCTGCCTCTGCCTCCTGAGTGCTGGGATTGAGTACTTGTTCTTGTAGAAGACCTAGGTTCACTTCTTAGCAGCTCACAACTGGTCTTTTTTTTAAAGAGATTTATTTGTTTATGTATTTTACATATGTCTGTATACATGTTCACATGCTAGAAGAAGCATTGGATCCCGATATAGATGTTGTGAGTCATCATGTGGCTCTTGGGTATTGAACTCAGGTTCTCTGGAAGACCAGCCAATGCTCTTGACCATTAAAGCCATCTGTCTAGCCCCCATCACAACTGCTCATAGCTCCAGTGGAATTTGATGCCTGCTGTGGGCACAAGGACACACATGGTACAGATATATATACAAGTAAAATACTCATACCTAAGGTAAAGTGAATAAATATAAAAACAATAGAACATTTTAAAAAAGTTTTTTGTTTGTTTGGATGAGGGTTGTTTTGAGAGATGGTCTTGTGAACTGGCTTGGAACTTAAGATTCTTATTCCCCACTTCCTGACTGAGTGAGGTGGCAGGTGTTAGCTAGCACGTGTGTTTCAGATGCACAGTTGTGTGGCTGTCCTGGGACGGGAAGAAGTGCATAGGTGAGCTCAGCCGGTAGCCCTGGCGGAAATGGGCGTGTTGGTGTCTTACATCTTCCAGCTCTCCTTGTCCACTTGGCAGGTGTGTGTTATGCATGAGCATTTGGCTTGTTGGAGCTGGGGGTGAATTCATAGAGACCTTAGGAGTTCATTTAACTGTTGAGTCGCACCAAACAGAAAAGGCTTTTGGGTTTACTAAAAGGGAACTTGAAACAACCAACGATTTTGAACAGAAGAACCATGTGACCTGATTTGGACTCTCAAATCACTGGCTGTTTTGTGGAGAACAGGCTGAAGGGGTGAGAAAGGAGTCACCTCATTGCAGGTGACCTTGTGGAACAACAGCTCTCCCTGGGTGGGCTGCAGAGAGCAAAGCCCCCCCCCCCGCCCCCCAGTGTAGTATGCAGTTGTATGGACAGGACACAAGTTACAGCAGTTGAGAGTGGCAGAGCTTGGGCTGGAGAGATGGCTAAGCCGTTAAGGGCAAGGCTCAGCTTCTTTCAAGGGTCGAATTACAGAGTTAGAGGCAGGGAAGGAACAAGCTCTTGACTAGAGCAGAGCCTAAACCTTGGGAACCTGGCAAGCCTGAGCCTTGTCAGCAGTCACAGAGGGCCATCCTCATTCCTGTCTTCTCAGAAGTCTCAGTAAGGTTGACAGAGGGCGAGGCACAGACAGGTTTGTGGTGCTTTGGGTGTAGCAGAGCATCAGAACTGGGGTGACTTTAGAAATCACCAGGTAGAACCTTGTCGGTTTTTAGGTGCAAGTCCGCAAAGATGAAATAAGCAGCCTCCCTAGAGTTGCTGCCCTAGAGTTGCCGCAGTAGGTTGTCTCCTGCTGCGTGGGTCTCAGTTAGTATTCATAGTTCCTCCTGGTGCTCAGCCAGTAGTGAATGAACTCCAGCTATGCCTTTGGCAATTTCCACAAATATGAAGTCCTTACAAGCAAATGATGGTTTCCTTTGTCTAGGATCAAGCTCTCCATACCAGGGACCAGGCTAAACCAGACTACCACTGCCCCGACCTAGGCCCCATTGACCTCAGAAAGCATCCACTGGAATCATGGGCAATATCTTTGGAAACCTTCTGAAGAGCCTAATTGGGAAGAAGGAGATGCGCATCCTGATGGTGGGCCTGGATGCTGCAGGGAAGACCACCATCCTGTACAAGCTGAAACTGGGAGAGATTGTCACCACCATTCCTACCATCGGTAAGGGCAAGCTTGTTTGCGGGCTGAGGGAGGCTGGGGGCCTTCTCATGGATCTCCCACTTGGCCCATTCTCCCAGGCAAGTCCACACATTTCGTGGGCTTCAGAGACAGTGTCTGTTTAACTTACCAGCAGGTGCTGGAGCTGCCGTTTGCCCACCTGCCCTGGCCCTCCCTGATGCGGGAACTTCCGCAGCCTGGCACTCAACAGTTGCCCTCAGGCATTAGAGTTGGTTTGTTCTCTGTGTTGTTTGGAAAGCAGGTGAAGGGCTTTGATGTTCCTGCCAGAGGCCTGGAATTACTTTGGTTTAGATCTTCAGTGGTGATCTTGGTTAATACCTGCCTGCTCAGGGGAGAACATTTGCTACAGACATGGGACTTTGGGTCATTATCCTGAGGCTTGGGGCTCCAGCACTGTAGCTCGTGTCTCATTCTTTACTCTGCCTCTCAGCCCCACAGCTTAGCTTAGATGCATTTTAGTGATCAAGGAACAGAATAGAGTTGTTTCTTCATAGAACAGAGAACCAGAATCTGAGTGAATGGGGAGAGGGTTGGTTACCCATTACCCAGGCTGCTGTGAGCCTGCTGATCAGACCTCATTGTTTTTGATTTTTTAGGTTTTCCGTGTGTGTGTGTGTGTGTGTGTGTGTGTGTGTGTGTGTGTGTGTGTGTGTGTGAGAGAGAGAGAGAGAGAGAGAGAGAGAGAGACAGACAGACAGACAGACAGACAGACAGACAGACAGAGAGACAGAGAGAGAGAGACTGTGTTTGTGTTTTGCCTGTATATGTGTATATGTACCATATGCATGCATGCTCAGCATGGAAGATAGAAGAGAGCATCAGATCCCTCTGGAACTGGAGTTATGGATGGTTGTAAGCTGTGTGGGTCCTAGGAATTGAACCCTAGTCTTCTGCAAAAACAAGTGCTGTTAACCACTGAACCATCTCCCAGCTCTTAGATTTTCTTTGAGGCTACCCAAGTCAAGGATTATCAATCCTAGGATCCCTTAAGCTTTCTGTCGTTGGTGTCATGTCCAAAGCTGAGAAGAGAGAACTGGAAGTAAACTCACTGAGTCACTATTTGTAGGTCTGGTATTTGAGGCCAGTGGCCATTGACATTTTTCCCCCCAAAGGGTTTAATGTGGAAACAGTGGAATATAAGAATATCAGCTTCACAGTATGGGACGTAGGTGGCCAGGACAAGATTCGACCCCTCTGGAGACACTACTTCCAGAACACCCAAGGTATGGCAGATAAACTTCCTGGGGTTGGCATTACTTTGCTGGGTTTGTGAGGAGCATGGCTGTCTTCCTCAGTTCCGGGTAGCCAGTCCTTGCCCTGATGCAGCTCCTGGCAGTGGAGAAAAGGGAACATGTGCTTCGAGGGTGTGGTGATGGGGGAGGAGACATCTGTTATCTCTGCGTGTCCCGTCCTCTTCTCTGCCTCTCTAGGCTTGATATTTGTGGTTGACAGCAATGACCGGGAACGAGTAAATGAGGCCCGAGAGGAGCTGATGAGGATGCTAGCAGAGGACGAGCTCCGGGATGCCGTGCTGCTCGTGTTTGCAAACAAACAGGTGAGGTGTCTCCCTTTTCCTCATTTGGGAGAGAACAACCTGACTGCAGACACCATGGAGCCTTGGGGTTCGTTGTGTGGGAAGGCCTGTGACTGCTCTTGTCAGTGTGGCAGTGGGGGTGTGCAAGCAGTTGGTGTCCTCATGCCCCCTTCCTTGTTCCCAAGCCCAGGTGTATTGAGCAGCATTTTAGTCCTCAGGATTCATGTGATAGATATGTTTCTTCAGTATTTTTATATTCCCTGCTGTGCACTGTCAGACTTGATTCTTTGGCCATGTGATTCACACATTTATAACCCTGCCACACCTCATGGAATAGCTGTCTACTTTGCTAGGCCTAGAGTAGTCGCTTCAGATCCTGAGATGAAGGAGAAGGTGGTCGTGTGTGTGCCTTTGGTAAATGGGTGCTCTAGAAGGCTGTGGAAGACCCTGAGTTATCTGTGTGCCTCTCTTGCACTGCAGGATTTGCCCAACGCTATGAACGCTGCAGAAATCACAGACAAGCTGGGGCTGCATTCTCTGCGTCACCGCAATTGGTACATTCAGGCCACCTGTGCTACCAGCGGGGACGGGCTGTATGAAGGCTTGGACTGGCTGGCCAATCAGCTCAAAAACAAGAAGTGAGAGCCAGGCAGCCCTCTCTGACTACCCCACCCACTCCTGACACGTACCTGCTGTCTCCCTACCCCAGTTTACCCTATCCTTCCTCTTGAAAGTGTGGTCGAGGTCCTGGGTATTGTGTCTACATGCCCAGAAAGAGCCTTGCCTCTGTGCCTCCCTTCCTCCTTCCCTGTCCTCTGACACGATCAGTCCCCAACCGCTGTCCTGATGATAAGTCATTCCAATTTACTGGATTTAAAACAAATGAGGCTGTTATGGTTTCATGGGGAGGAAGAGTGGGGTGTTCTCTCTGTTTGCTGTTTGGCACTGGTTGCTGTGCCCTTGGCATCTGAGCCCCTTCCCTGTCTCCCTGGCCACCCTCCTCCCTGTCTTCCTTTCCTTCTACACCCTCCTATTCTACATGAAATTGCACGGGCCTCTCTGTGTGTGCGTGCATGTGTGCGCCTGTATATATGTGTATAGAGAGATATATATGTGGGGTCAGGGAGGGGGAGGGAGTGGAGTGCAGCTCAGGGCTTGCAGCCAGGATGGACACTGCCCAGTGGCGCCTGTCACCTGCCCCTTCTGTGTGGTGAGATAAAGGGGAAAATGTGGGTGGGTCCCATTGCCTTCCTCTCTGCAGGTGGTGTTCCTGGATGTCAGGACAGATGGTGGACACTGCAACCGTCTTCCTTATATTTCTTCTCCACCCTTATGATCGTAAGAAATGGCATTTATCTCTAGATGACTGTTCCTAAGGGTTAGATCCATTCTACGCTGCCTCGTTGGTAGGGAAGAGAGAGGAACCCACTCACTTCCATCAGTCCGGAGTGTTCTGTTGGTCCTCCTCCACCATATAAGATCTACTCCCCAGGAGCTCAGAGGGAGGTGGCTTAGTGGGGCCTGCACGCCAGAGGGTGGAGTTGGGTCTGTTTCCCATCTTGTTCTTGTTACTGGAAGGTAAGGCATGGAGCAGTCCTGCTTCTGCTTGCTGCACCTTCCTCTGTCTTCTGATCTTGGGGCTGGGTGGCTCCCTCTGTCCTTGTCAGATTTTCTCACCTAGTTGTCTGCTGGGCTGCTGAGGACTGACCAGGTGAGGTAACGAGAAGCCACGGAGTGGGGGTGACATAGCAGACCTCAGTATCAACCCCTATGCTCCAGTCCCTTTCTAGTGCAGGGCCAGCTAAAAGATGATTTTCTGCTGTTGGCGGCCGCAGACTGTCCCTGCTGCACTCGCCACCTCCTTCCTGGCAGCTTTCCTCAGCTCTCACACACTTTGTGACAGTTCCAGGGGGTTGGAGTGGAGGAGTCGGGACCCTGTGTGGTTGGTGCTGGGACAGTGATCTGCAGGGCCCTACCTCCATCCTGCTGTGGTTGTTCAGGCGCTGCTGCGGGTCTGCAGGGGCACTTGTTCTCAGCCTCTGACCTGGGTCCTGATACAGTCATTGCAGTGGAGCTATGGCTGCTTTGTGGGCTCCTGTGTGTGCTGGCTGCGCCCTGAGCTCCCAACCATCGGCCATAACCTCCCTGCCAAGGTCAGGACCCTGAGCCCTCTCCAGCATGGCTGAGGGACCCCTTCCCAGGGCTGTTCTGAGCTCCACTCTGGCCAGCCTTCCTGCCAGCTTTGTGTACAGCAGGCGGTCAGTTCCCCAGCTTACCTGCAGATGAGCTGTGAGAGGTCCCAGGGGTGTCGCTCAGTGCACTCGGGCTGTGTTACTAAACCCCAGATGCCACATGGGTGTGTACTCTGAGTGTGTGTGTGTGTGTGTGTGTGTGTGTGTGTGTGTGTGTGTGTGTGTGTGTGTGTGTGTGTGTGTGTGTGAGTGTGAATGTGATGTGTACATGGGGTGCCGGGAATTCTGTTTCATTTTAAAATGGATTACTCTCTCTCCGGACACTACCCTCCACAATTTCTTTGCTGTTTCCTGGCTTTTCCCACCTCTGTTGCCACTCTATGAACTCTGCTTTGCCTTCTCAGTTCTTTCACCATTGTTGCCTGTCTGGTTTTCTTTCCTTGTTTTTGTCTTCTACTTGACTTTCTCTTCTATCTTCATGATTGGTGAGGACTTTACCTCTTTCTCTGCCACACCTTCTGACCTTCCCTTCTTAGATGCTAGTTACAAATAGGTTTTGTATATTGCAGGCCTCGTTCCACTCTTCCACCACCCCCCTAGCATCTCGTTTTTCTCAGCCTCCTAGGACCAACCTGAGGCTGAGCAGGCTGAAGCAGCCTTGGATGTTGCCATGGTGCTGCTCCAGATAAGTCCAGCAGGGGGCAGTAACATCTTGGTAGCATCTCTGGCTGGCGGGGGGGGGGCACTTTCTATATTCCCATTCACCTAACAGGTCTTTGGGGGTTGGAAGTTCCATTCTATTTCTGTAAACTCCCTTTCCTGCTTTTCTCAAGTTGGTTTAATTTTTGATCTTCCTAGTTCCAGCGTTCTGGGGATTCCCCCTTCCCTCCGCCTCCAAAGTTTGTGATGTTATAGTGGTATCTGCAGTTATGAAGTGGGTTTTTCTTTTTCCTTTCTCTGGAATGTAGACTGTGTATGTTTAATAACTCACCTTCTCTACCCTTGCTCAGAAATGTGGGACAATGCAATGACTGTGACCCTGGTTGGCAATTAAACTTGTCTTACGCAGTCCTGGAGGAGACCTTCATGCTGTGCGGCAGCTGTGTGGCAGCGGGATGCTCCGATGCTGGTCCCTGTCCTTCTCTGCAGAGGTGGGAGGGCATGCTGCAGTGGGTGGAGAAGAAGTCATGGAGGAACTTAGGCCTGTTGGGAACACTGATTGTGAGTCGTCCTTCCCGTCACACCCAGAAGGAAGTCTAAATGAGCCAAGCACCAGCGTGTGAGGGCTCTAGGACTGACTGACTCTGAGGGGCTCAGCCCTGAACCTAGCTCTATTTACCACCTGCTGATAGACTGCAGGGCAGTGGTTCTCAGCCTATGAGTTGAGACCCTGTGGGAGTTGAATGACCCTTTCACAGGGGCTGAATAGCAGATATCTCACATATCAAATATGTACACTATGATTCATAACAGTAGCAAAGTTACAGTTATGAAGTAGCAGTGAAATAATTTTATGGTTGGGGTCACAGCATGAGGAAGTGTGTTAAAGGGTCATGGTATCGGGAAGGGTGAGAACCACTGCTTCAGGGACTAAAGCAATTAGAGGGCCCTGAACTTGGAGAGCCCCTTACTTCCTCTAGTCTTAGATCTTTCCAGCCCTGGAAATTAGGTGTGTGTAGTCCGAACATGGCCACCCTGTGCATAGATTGGCGTTTTCTCACCCATCTGAGCCTGGATTTGAGGAGTAAGCACAAAGAGCAAACATCTGGGCAGTATAAAAACTTGGTCTGCTTGTCAGTGCCGTGCCCTGTACAGCTAGCTGTGTTTGAGTTGTGTGGGTTCCCGTGTCAGTGCTAACCCTCATCCAGAAACTCCACAGATGCCCTGGGTGACACATCTTTTCTTCCACTTTATTTCCTCTGCTGCCATCACTGTCTGACTCCACATACAGGGAAGGGATGGTGAGCGGGGAAGCCCCTCCCTCTTGCCCCTTGCTTCGGTACTGAGTTTGAGAGCCACATGCTACTATGAATTTTTAATTGATACGCAGTTTCCTCCCCATTTCTTTCCCTGCTAGTTTTCCTTTCAGCCTTTCTCCTGTCACCAATTCATCACTTTTCAAAAACCAGTGCTGTTTGCTCCTGTCTCTGGCTTCCAAACCACTGAGCCACGCATCCCTTCACCGGCCCTGTGTTTTTAAGTGTTACTCACTGTCCTTCCTCCAGGCTCCCTCAGCTCTTAGTTAGGAATGCCTTTCTCAAGTTCTTTGTTTATTTATTAATAAATAGATCACTTTCTGAACTGCATTTTCTTTTCCTTATTTTGGTTTTTGAGACAGGGTTTCCCTGTGTACCCCTGGCTCTCCAGGAACTTGCTCTGTAGACCAGGCTGGCCTCGAACTCACTCACAGAGATCCAAACTGCCTCTACCTCTCAAGTACTGGGATTAAAATTGTGTGTCACCAATGCATGACTTGCTGATCTCAAACTTGTAACCATCCTCTTGCCTTTGTCCCTCAAGTATTGGATTATAGTCTCAGCTGTAATTTTTCATAAGACTATAATAATAGAAGCTGGGTGTCGTCGTAATCCCAGCACTCCAGAAGCAGAGGTGGGACGATCTCTGAAAGCTTGAGACCGTCCTGGGCTATGTTTGTCTTATCCCCCTCAAAAAAGTAAATACTAAAAAGCAATTTAGTTTAATGACAGGCTGGTGACACCAGAACAACTTAGAGAAGTGGGTGATGGTTCTTTCCTGTGATTCAAGGGAGTTAGAGGAGCCATCTGTGACTTTTGCCCAAACCTATCAGCTCTGAGGGAACACAGAATGAGGGGAAGTGAACCTAAGGGTAAGCTTGGGTATCTTAAGGCAGATAGCCTTCTATGACTTGTTTGTCATAATTTGACAAAGAACCCAGATCCAAGTGATACTACTTCGGAATAATCTGGGAAAGGCAGCTTCCAAAATGAACTTGGAGGAAATGGGCTTAGATCAGCCTACCTGGGATGAAAGTCAAAACTGTCCCTTTCACAGGGATGTGTTTCCTATCCTTGAGGTATAGTGTCTGCAGTTTCTGGGGGCTTCTGCACCTAGCCTCCAGTTCAAGCACACACATTCAGGTAGAATAGAAAGTAAGCAGAAATGTACTGCTCTCTCTCTCTCTCTCTAGTTAGGCATTTGTTTAAGATGGGTTAAACCACTGTATTCAGAGGGACTGGACATCTACTTCAGGGTGCTCTAGAGTCTTAAAATCTTGGGAATGGCCGAGGAGGAAGCCCCTCCTCTCCTGCTGCTCAGTACAGGGAGTGAGCTGTCACAAGAACACTAAGCACCATCTTTGGTTCACTCTCTAACCCAGCATTTGGAGAGGTCACTGGTTACTGGAGAATGACAGAATCCATATACTTCCCTTCTCTGCATGCTTCTCTAATTGGGTTTCCTGACCCTAGGTCCTGGAATGGGTAAGAATGACCCTGAGTTCTTGAGAAGGTGCGGAGAGAGGGTTAGGGCCAAGGAAGTGGAAACCTTGAGCGTGGTAAAGAGAGCAAAGTTGGTGAAGGCAGTGAGGATCTGGGTGTGAGGAAGCTGGGTCAGGACTGTCATCTGTCAAAGCTAGTAGGTAAGTGTCTGCTCATGTGTGTGTGTCACTGGCTGCCAGCTAGCCTCTGGGGAGCATATGGGCTTCAGTTAGAGCAAGTGTGGAAGAGGAGAGGACACAGGTAAAACTGCTGCGCCCTGTGCATAGAGCTGACCAGTTCTCTACACAGGCTTCCTCCCACTGACCCCCACCCTCCCACTGACCCCCACCCTCCCACTGACCCATCTCACAGTCGCCTTCTTCCAGCTGTCTGGCAGTCAGACAAGGTAAAAGCTTTTGGACTAAGTCTTTCACCTATGCCCCTACCCCCCACTCCTCCATTCTGTGTATTATGGGTGTACTCACCAATAGAGTACTTACTTGCTGGGAGGCCCTGGATTTGATCACTGGAACTGCCTGCGTATACAAAACCCAGCTATCTTGGTGAGGGCTGTCCTAGGATTTACAGCATAGAAGGCTGAGCTTGAGCTCTGAACCACAGGTATTTACAAATACAGCAAAGACGACTCAACTGCTGCAGGTTATATATGAGAGTATGTGCTCTGTCTGCCACATCTCGCATAGGTGGAGTGATAAGTGTTCTTGGTTAAAGTAGCCACAGGATTTGGGCGCTAACTTCATCACTCTTGGATGATGGCGTGTATAAACCATACCTAAAAGGAGCCAGTGGAACATGTGCTTCACATGTTCAAGGCTCAGGGTTCCATCCACAGCACGGGTAAAGAACAACAGAGTAAGGCCCTGCCTGATTCAGTCTCCAGTGTCAGGGGCTAGCAGGAAGCCAGTGCCCCGCTTACCCCGGCTGCTGTGTGGGTGAACTGGATAGGCCATGCTGACTCCGGACACTTCAAGGCTCAGGCCTCTCTGGGTGTGGTTTTCCACTTGTGTCACCAGGCAGCTTTCCTGCCTTTCTCAGAATCATAATTTAAGTTCCTTCTCAGTCCAACAGAAATGATTCTTCCCTGACCCTTCCTGGGGCATTTCAGTAAGTTGCCTTCAGTGGGTCGCGTTTTTTTTGTGGGGGTGGGGTGGAGGTGGAGGTGAGGGCAGTTTTCAACCTATGGGTCATGGCCCTTTTGGGGCTCGCATATCAGACTACAGTTACGAAGTAGCAATGAGATGGTATATGGCTGGGGTCCCCACAACATGAGGAACTGTATTAAAGGTCCGGAAGGTGGATAGCCTGTCTTGTATTGATTCAGATCTCGTTCACTCACATACTTTATTTTTATGACCAAGCAGCTTTTATTATCAGTGATCCCGACAATACATAAGCATGCACAGATGTTAGGCACACATTCGGTGGAACACCACGTTGTATCTGCTCCCTTTACTCTTCCCATCCCATCTGAAAACCCAACACCATCCTCAGCCATTGGGGTGCATCCTTTGGGTCCCCCCCCTTTTTTTTTAAGAGACAGGGTCCTCCGCCAAGTCGGGTGGCATACAACTTTATAATTCCAGCACTTAGGAGGCAGAGGCAGGCAGATCTTTATGATTTCAAGACCAGCTTGATCTACATAACTTGAGTTAGTTCCACAATAGCCAGGGCTAAATAGACCATGTCTCAAAGCAAAAAACACCAAAACTGCTTGGCAGGGTACAGGGAAACAGTGAAGTGCTCAGAGCGCTCTTTAACAGTCGCCAGGCTCACATGCTTTCTCAAGATGGGGGGTGGGCAGAGGGAGGGGAAGAGAGGATCTTGTGTATCCCAGGCTGGTCTGTGAACTCATGTAGCTGAGAATGACTTGGATTCTAGTTCCTTTCCACCTCCCAAGTGCTGGCATTATGGTGTATGCCACCAACCACGGTTAATGCAGTGTTGTGGTTGAACGCAGGGTTGTATGCATGCAATGGTAAGTATTCTACTGAGCTGTGCCCCCAGCCCAGCCCTTGCTCTTTTTCTAAATAATATGCACCTACACATATTTGGGGAGGAGTTAAACTTTGAGTTCATACCACATTATTTTACTTCTTAAATTAAAGCTTATCTATTTATCTTAGAGATTTTTCATAGTATAGTTATTTTTTAATGGTTTCTCATTTAATAGTTCAACAATTCATTAAAAATCAAACATTTGGCTGGTTGTGGTTTGAATGCCCAGCACTTGGGAGGTAGAGGAGGAACTAGAGTTCAAGGCTAAGCTAGTGAGATGTTCCACAGAAAAAGACAGCCTGCCAACAAGCCAGACCACCTGAGTTCTGTATGGGACCACATGTGATGGAACAGCTCTCCCAAGTTGTCTTCTGATTTCACACACACTGTGGCACATGCCTGCCTGTAAATACATGGGACAAATAATTCACACACCATGGCAAGTGCCTTGAAGGCATGGTAAAGGAAGTCCACAAACGCCTGAATAAAGAATAACATTTATATGGGAAACACTCACGCAATAAAGATAAATAGCTGTAGTGGTCTTCTGTTCGTGGATGCGCAGGACTCTGATGCAGGATGCTCACACCACAACCCAAGAGAGAGCGAGGCTCCACTTCTAAGGAATCACATCTGCTCATCAAAGCCACACCCGAAGGCGGTCCCTCAAATCTTCCAGAACAAGATGCCATTACACTTCCCCTTTTAAGAGGGTTTTAAACCTGATACAAAACTGCATACAATGATAACAGGTATCAAGTATAACCCAGGAGAAAGGTAAAAACACAGGTAAATTTAGAACTATACAAACAGCAAGAACAACATAATTAAGAAACACATACTAAATGTCCAATGACATGTTAGAGATTACTCCAATAGCTGTTCTATTCTGGAAAGTCTTGCACCTGATATGGTCTAGCTAAGATAAGAGGATATTAGCTGTGCCTATCTAGTCTTCAACTTCATCAAAAATTTGCAAACACATACCATTAATATTTTTTAAAGAGAGTTTAAGGCAACTTTGCTTTGACTCCAGTCCAGACTACAAGAGACCCTGTTTGAAAAGGTAAAACACTTGTTCAGTATCGCGCTGCTGGTACCTGGGGAGGTCTAGGTGTGTCATACTTGGTCCTTGTCATCAGTGTGCTGACTCTGAGGGAAGTGGAAAAGAGAAACGAGGCATGCACAATAACTGAACAAGGGAAAGAGTAGTGTATGTGTCATTCAAAAGTAGGGAAAGTCACCATTAACTAAGAGAACTAGGACTTGAAAACAGATAAACACCTGGAGAGTGGAACAAATAAAGGGGGCACAGCTGAGAACACATGGTAGGTAGGCTCATCTGTAGGGAAATCGGATGCAGTTAATACACATTAATTACTTGCGTGTCTGGCATGAACGTTGAGGATACAAAACTGAGACGCATAAAGCTCTGTCTGCCTCACTCTCTTCAGAGCTGGTAGTGGTTGGACACACCTATTAGCACAGCACTTACAAGTCTGAGCCAGGAGGATCCCAAGTTCAAGATATGCTCTGTAGACTATGCTGGCCTCCAACTTGAGATCTGCCTCCCAAGTGCTAGGATTAAAAGTGTGTGCCACCACCACTTGACAGGCCTGGACTTCTTAGAGAAAGGCTTTCAGTTTAAATGACCAATTCGGGAAAGGAGGGCTGGGTGACAAGCTTTTAACCGGCATGTCAGGGAGTCGGTTTTATTCACAGGGCAGTGTGGAACAATGTAAGATTTCGTGACATGGGAGGTGGCATGAACGCATGTAGCAGTGTACAGAATGGTCTAAAGAGGGAAGCTTGGGGATATGGCTTACCTTTAAAACACAAAAATATGATAGAACTGTCTCCATAAAAGGGGTTTGGCAGTAGGTAATCCCGGACTAGCACGGTGGGTCTCAGTTTACCAAAGACTTATCTGTCCACCTTTGTGCTTCGCCATCTGGGACCCACCTTCCATTGTCATGGTCCAATATGATTGCTACAGCATAAGTCATCCTGTGTACTTTCTGAGTACATAAAGATGGGGATGGACGAGGGGTGGGGTGGGAGCGGGGGGAGGCTAATAGATGAGAGTAGAGCATGAACTGACATGGTTCCTAGCTCGGTTGGTGCCTTTTGAGGAGTCTAAATGCGTTCAATGCTTACATTTATGTCTTGTTAGCTACTAGTGCTGGGGATTAAACTCTAGACAAGCATTCTACTGCTGAGCTACATCCCTAGCCACATGTACAGATGTTAGGCATACATTTGGTAGGTTTTTAAAAATGCACACATCCAGGCCAGGCAGTGGTGGCACAAGCATTTAATACCAGCACTTGAGAGGCAGAGGCAGGCAGATCTCTGTGAGTTCGAAACCAGCCGTGTCTACAAGAGCTAGTTCCAGGACAGCCTCCAAAGCCACAGAGGAACCCTGTCTGGAAAAAAAAAAAAAAAGCACATATCCATGTAACCCCATATATAGAACATTCTCTCAACCCCAGGAATTCCTGCTGGCTGTCATTTTAATTAATATTTGAGAAAGGGTTTTTTTATAGGCTGGGATTTATAGGTGTGCATCACCATACCCCACTGTACAGAGAGGTTTCTCTGAGTTTGTGTTTGTTTAAGACAGAGTTTAACTATGTAGTCCTAGTGGCCTGAAATTCACAGAAGCTTGTCCTCCGTTTCCTGAGCGTTGGGTTAAAAGGTGTACACCACCACACCCAGCTGTCAGAGTTTTTTTTTAAAGATTTATTTGTACTTATGTGTACCTGTATGCCACATGTGTGTGAGTACCTGTGGAGCCAGACAAGGGTGTTGATGCCCTTGGATCTGCAGTTCTAGGCATTTTTGAGCCATCTGATACAGGTTCAGGGAATTGAACTCTGGTCCTTTGGAAGAAACAACAAGTATATCCATTTCTCTAGCCCCTGACAATGAGTTTCATGTTTTAATAATTCCTAGGTTAGGGACATTAACTCAGTGGTGTTTGCCTGGACTGGATCTCTGGTACCACAAGACAGAGAAAATGAGAGCTTGATTAGAGTAGTAGTCCTAGGAATGGAAGCTCTGGAGAGTCTGGGGAGGGACAGCCTCAAGAAGACTGGGTAGACACTTGGGATGAAAGGTTCTCAGTACTAATGGAGGAGAACCATCAGAAAGTCCAGGTCAGCTTGTCTCAAACAAGAGGAAGTGTGTGTGTAGACTGAGGTGCTGGCCAGACCGGTGGAGTTGTGGCCGAGAACAGTATCAGTGCTAAAAAGGACGGTGAGCCAAGAAACTGCCTACAGAGTATAGTATAGAACCATCGGGAGACAGCCTTTGAGTGATCAGGGTCTAGGTACCACAGCTTAGGTTCAAATCATGAAAAGGGAAACTGGTAAGACTGCCTACAATTACTTGAAAAGATACAAGACCGTTGTACATGCTGCTGTTGTGAAAAGGGTACTGAGGGAAAACAGGAAGGAAAAGGTCAGCACTGATTCCTTTTTTTACAGGTAGATACCCCTCCAAGATGGGGGTGGAGCAGCCTCCATCCCCTTTCTGGACAAAACTGAGGGCAGAACGAGCTGGCTGTCGTAGACACCCGACTCTACCTGCTTAGTGGGAGGGGAACATATCTTAGAAGAAAACAAACAAAAACAAATGGAGTCTTGTGCTTGGATCCTGTCTGTCACCATTTGACACGATGACCTTGGACACATTCCATAGCTGTAAAATGGGAACAATTGTGCCTCCCGTGACTATAAGGTTAGAGACTAACGCCCCTTTACAGTGAGCAACGGCAAATAGGTGCTATCACCTGGCCCAACGCGCGTCGGGGGACTGAATGGCTAACGGATGGGTCTGAATCGGTCGGTGACCTCGGATCACAGGGCAGGGAATGCTGCTGCTCCTTCCCTCCAGGAGGTGGGGACGAGGTGGAGGGAGGGCTGCAGCGGGAGGAGGAGCTCGCTCCTTGCGACCCGCCCACACCAGTCTGGCCTGGAGCGGAGGGAACACGTCCTGGTCGCCTGCACCCGAACAGCCTGTCCTGCCTGGTAACCCCGACCTGGTCCCATCATGTCCCTGCGCCCCTTGCTCTGGCCGCTCCGGCTGCTGCTGCTGCTGCTGTTCAATGGGGCGGTGTGCCGGGCTGAGGTCGGGCCTGAAACTGAAAGTCCTGTCCGGACCCTCCAAGTGGAGACCCTGGTGAGGAGCCTGTCGCGCCACCTCCCCATCACCCTCCCACCTCCCCCAACCCCCGCCGCCGCCGCCGCCGCCGCCACCACCCTTCCAGGCCAGCCAGGAGCCGTGGGGGAGCAGGGGCTCTAAATGAACCTGTGAACCAAGAGGAGAGGAAGTGCTGGAACTGAGTCGGGGGGGAGGGGGAAGAGGTGATGGGTCTCGATGTAGTTAGTAACAGCGTCCTAGGAGGAGCAGCAGCCTTGACCCTTGTAGTCTGATCATAGGTACAGCCCCCCGAATCGTGTACGGAATCCGCTGCTTTTGGAGACACGCTCCACATACACTACACGGTGAGGGGCCTGGGGGGGCCGGGGCGTGGTCTGGGAGGGGGCGGCGCCCTCATGAAACACGTCAGCTTTGGCTTGGACACGTGGCAGGCTGTGCGAGAGAACTGAACCCTAGGGTCAGCTAGCACGTGTGGACAGGAGTCTGGGTGTCCTCTTGTCTGCTTCTTCCTCCTCCCTGCTTTCCCGCCAGTTTCTCTCCAGCACCGAGAAATGAAGGGTGGAGAGATCTCCTAGAAGTGTCAGCCCTTTGGGGCTTCCTGTTCCATTTGGCTCCACGGGGGTGGGGGTGGGAGAGGGGGACAGGATGCTAGGCTGGGGTTGCCGCCACCTCATCCGGGCGGTCCCAGCGTGTGTGGCCTGTCTGATGGCAGGAACGGTGGGGTTAGTTCTGACTCTTTGTCTTCAGGGCAGCTTGGTAGATGGACGCATTATTGACACGTCTCTGAGCAGAGATCCTCTGGTTATAGAACTTGGCCAAAAGCAGGTGATTGCAGGTATGTGACCTGTGCCTTTGTCCTCTTCCTAACCTAAGCCCTTGCTTAGTGTCTTGGCCGTCTGAGTTACGCTGGAAAGACTCTCAGAATGAGTGAGACCCTAAGGATCTTTGGCTACCTCATGTTCAAATTCTCTTCATGTTCCACACATCACAGGGAATGTGGAGTAAAGCTCACTTGACGAAGGCCGAAGGGAGTCTTTGATTTTCTTCTTGGGTGGTGTGGGGAATATTTTCCTCTTGGGTGGTGTGTAGCTTCTGGTTCAGTTGTCTTCTTCCTCAAGGTCTGGAGCAGAGCCTGCTGGACATGTGTGTGGGGTGAGTATCGGGAGGGGGCGAGCCTGACTACCCCTTTGCCTGGGTGGCAGCCTTCTCTGCCATCCTGTGGCTTCAATAGGCAGGACCTTGTTGAATAAAGAGTCTCTGACATCATGGTCAGAGGGACACCTGAAGGCATCCAAAGCTCAGGGCAACTCTCTGGCTGTGGGTATTGGGGGGGCAAATTGAGGTTTGTAGGGTGATTGGTACCTTTGCTGGTCAGCCTGTTAGGTGGGAAAATTCACGTTTTGGTGTCACTATCTGAAGTGGGAGGAGCTTCTGGTGGCACTGGGCCAGGGCTGCCAGCTCACCTCTCTCCTGCCTGGGACTCTCATTCCTTCCTCAGAGAGAAGCGAAGAGCCGTCATTCCTTCTCACTTGGCCTATGGAAAGCGAGGGTACCCACCGTCTATCCCAGGTAACTGAGTAGTCTTTTCTCCCACTCATCAAAGCAGAGCCCTGAGAGCCACACACTCTCTTCTGCCTAGCACTTGAGAAAGTCCATATTAAATTTGAGCAAGGGGGTAGCTGGGGCCTCCCTCCTTCTGGCCTACCTGAGACTAAAGGCAACCTGTTAGGGCCTCCTGAGTCAACCGTAGGCAGCTGGTGACTTTTGATACCTTCAGCCCCATGGGTCTTGGGGCCTACCCTAACTTTAGTCAAAAGAAACCAAGGAGCTACCTTGAGAGCCCCGGCACAGCTGGTAAGGAGGTGACCTGATGACTGATTCCTAGAGTTCACCTTCACATACTATTGCTGATACCTGTTCTGAAGGGTGGAGACTAGACAGATCCCAAGATGGGATCTCTTGCTTTGGGTTAAAACACCTATTACGTAAAATATAATCTATTCCACGGAATTCTGGGAATGTGATATACTAGCACTGGCCTTTAGGGAGCCCTGAAAAGAGGGTGGGGAGGATCAAGTGAACTCTCTTAACAAGCAGGCGTGGTGGTGCACTCAGGAGGCAGAGGCAGGTGATCTCTGTGAGTTCGAGGCCAGCCTGATCTACAGAGTGAGTTGCAAGACAGCTGAGGCTAGAGTGAGATCCTGTCTCAAAAGTAAAACACAACAGAACTTTTAGCAAAACTCTCTCCCTTCCTAGTGCCGCCTTTTGGCTTCTGTTTGAAACTGTCTGAGTCCTGTCCACCGGCTTCTTCAAGCGGGCCTCTCTTCTTTTCCAGCACTTCTTTGAAAAATCCTCTAAAAATCTTGTTGTATGTGTTCATTGGCTGCTGGAATTTTTAAGGATATCTGCTCTTATTCCAGTTAGTTATAGCCCTGCAAAATCCTGCCCATGTGGCTGTTTGGAAATGGGGTCTGTTTGCTACAGAGGATTGTCACACATAAACGCTTGCTTGTGGGACCAGACAGATGGCTCAGAGGTTAAGAGCACTGACTGCTCTTGAGGACCCAGGTTCAGTTCCCAGCACCCACATGGTGGCTCACCACCATTTGGAACTCCAGTTCCTGGGGAATCTGACACCCTCTCCTTACTCCAAAGACACCAGGCATGCACATGGTGCACAGAAATACATCAGGCAAAACACTCATACATAAAATAATAAACATATCTTTAAATAAAATAATAAATGCTCACTTGTAAATATGGAAGAACCTGCATGTTTCCCATCCACAGATCTCCTATGCTGTCAAAGAACTGTCATTGATTCCAAGCCACGTTTAGTTGTAGTTAAGGTCAACATGAGTGTTCTTAACCCCCCTGCCTTCTGCCTCTGCAGTGGATGCAGTGGCCCAGCTTTTAACCCCCACCCACCCTCTGCCTTTCCAGCGGATGCAGTGGCCCAGCTTTTAACCCCCACCCACCCTCTGCCTCTGCAGTGGATGCAGTGGCCCAGCTTTTAATCCCCCTGCCCTCTGCCTCTGCAGTGGATGCAGTGGCCCAGCTTTTAACCCCCCTGCCCTCTGCCTCTGCAGTGGATGCAGTGGCCCAGCTTTTAATCCCCCTGCCCTCTGCCTCTGCAGTGGATGCAGTGGCCCAGCTTTTAACCCCCCTGCCCTCTGCCTCTGCAGTGGATGCAGTGGCCCAGCTTTTAACCCCCCTGCCCTCTGCCTCTGCAGTGGCCCAGCTTTTAACCCCCCTGCCCTCTGCCTCTCCAGCAGATGCAGTGGCCCAGCTTTTAACCCTCACCCACCCTCTGCCTCTCCAGCAGATGCAGTGGCCCAGCTTTTAACCCTCACCCACCCTCTGCCTCTCCAGCGGATGCAGTGGCCCAGCTTTTAACCCTCACCCACCCTCTGCCTCTCCAGCGGATGCAGTGGCCCAGCTTTTAACCCTCACCCACCCTCTGCCTCTCCAGCGGATGCAGTGGCCCAGCTTTTAACCCCCACCCACCCTCTGCCTTTCCAGCGGATGCAGTGGTGCAGTACGATGTGGAGCTGATTGCATTGATTCGAGCCAGCTATTGGCAAAAGCTGCTGAAAGGCATTTTGCCTCTGGTGGGCATGGCTATGGTGCCGGCACTCCTGGGCCTGATCGGGTATCACTTATACAAAAAGTCCAGCAGACCCAAAGTCTCCAAAAAGAAGCTGAAAGAAGACAAACGAAACAAGAGTAAAAAGAAATAAATAGTGACCTTTAACAAAACTTTGTATTCTTCACTTGATACTACTACCCCTTTTCCTTTTCATTTTTTACTTCTTATTGTATGCGTGCCTGTTGGCTGGAATGTGGAGATCAGACAACAGTGTGAAGCTGGTTCTCTCCTTCCACTGTAGGTGGGTTCCAGAGACTGAACTGGGCTCACCCCACTACAGAAACGAGCCTTTCACCTGTTGCGCCATCTCTCTGGTTCCCCCTTTTCTTCTGAGATGGAGTCTTGCATCTGTAGCCCAAGCGGGCCTCAGACTCATGAGCCTCCTGGCTACGCTGCAGTTATGGATGTGTACCAACACACCCTGCTCACCCAATACTTTGAGGCCGCTTTCTTGGGTAGAAGAAAGGGCATTGTGAAGCTGGACCTTCCTGTGGTTGAGTGGCTGGAGGTCTTGGAGCGCCTCTCCCTCTGGCCTTGCTGTCCTAATTTACTCCAGGAAGCTGGTTTTGACTCTGTCTCTAGGTCCTTGGGGAGTATATTTGGCTCCTATGGTACCATGATGCCGAGGAGGAAGCATGTTTCACCTAGTAGGTGCCTAGGCGCTCTCTCGCGTCCTTGAATAAAGACAATAAAGGTCTCACAAGGGCTGAGAATAAGGTTCAGTTGGTAGACTGCAAAAACCTGAGCTCAATTGGCAGCACCAATAAAACTGATGTGGTGGTACACACCTGTGATCTCAGGAAGCAGGAGGTCACAAGTTCAAGGTCATCTTCAGCTACATAGGGGGTTTGAGGCCTACATGAGACCCTGTTTGGTTTTTTTTTTTTTAGGAACTTATGATTTTTTAAAAAGAATAATAATTTATTGGAGCTGGAGAGATGGCTCGGCAGTTAAAGAGCACTGGCTGCTCTTCCAGAGGATTCAGATTCATTTCCCAGTATCCACATGGCTGCTTACAGCTGTCTATAACTCCAGTTCCAGGGGATCTGTCGACCTTCACACAGACACACATGCAGCCGAGAAACCATTGCACATAAAAGTAAATCATGACAAGTTATTTAAAAAAACAATAATTTATTGATTATACTGCATGGGATAGTGATAGTAACTGGAGTACTATCGTGAGCCTCCTAAGTTTGTAAAGAGCAAAGCACTCAGTCTCTGGGGTTTGGGAAGGGGTTCATCCTTGGATCACAGGGTATGGGAGACAACGTGGGCTGCTTCGATGACGTTGTAAGTGGCTGGAGGCCTTCTGTCGTCTGGCTGGTCCGGGGTGGACAGCTGGGGCAGGTTGCTTCTGTGGTTTACTATAAAGAGCGGGTTCAGCTGGCTCAGCACCTCATCGCTCACTGAGATCCCATCCAGGTACTGTTTGAGCAGCTCCCTCAGCTTCCCGCTGATGTCTAACAGCTGCAAGCGTCGGTGCTGGAGACTGAGCACCTCCAGCTTCACCTTGTTGTATCTCTTCCAGAAGTTCTCCATCCCCGAATAGTCCACCATCACCTGCGGGTGGAGGAAGGAGGCAGGTGACGCTGCCTTCAGCACATGCTGCCCAGCCCCCGCCCTGCCCTCCCCACCTTTACCTTGGCCAGCTCCTCAGTGAGTTCTTCCGGGTTCTGTTTCTCCACCTCCTCCTGCTCGCTGGGAGTCAGTACTGAGGAGTAGAAAGGCAGTACTTTCTCTTCTTCTGTTTCAAATTTCCTACATATTTCAGCAAGCTTAAGGATCTTTTCACCCTGTTGGCAGTATGAAGAGGTGTTTTAGGGAAAACAAGATAGTTCTCCTGCTTGAGCCCGGGAGAGCAGCTCAGTCAGCCAGAAGCCCATTTGATGCAGTGCCCGCCGTAAGCCAAGCGCTATGCCATCTTTTTGAAAGGACTTCACTAGGGACGAGGAAACACAAGCAGCAGACACACACAGGGGAGCCTGAGAAGCTGCAAAGTCTTGTAAACCTCTCAAGAGGCCTCCTCCCTACTTTAGACTTGGTCAGCTTGAAGTCCCATAGGATGGTTGATTGGTCTGCAACTGTGTGTGACGTGTCCTGATCAGGTCTTGAACTTCCTAAACCCAGGCCATTAGCAGGGGGCCTGCTGGTGGGAGACAAATGCTCCCAGGCTTTCCCCTTGAGTCAGGAGGTAGAAGAAGTGGCCATCTTGAAAATTCACCTCCTTTATTACGTAGCCATGGCTCCTCCTCTCCCTATCTGTCTGCCTACTTGGGAGTCTGTGCAACTCCTGGTCTCTCCTTATTCCTTGGCCCCGCCATCTCAGAGGTCACCCTAACTGCTCTTAGGGTGTTTGGGGGTGATAACCACTGCTCTTAGCTGCCTTGAGCTGACAAAAGGTTAACATTAGGGGTCAGCCTCAGAGCAGGGCCTATGTAAGGGTCCCCAATAAAAACTTAACCAATGGTAATAACTTGGAACATAAGACAGCCATTTGGTGGCAGCATATATCTTTGGAGCTTGTCATATAACTGGCAAATAGCACCTTGAGTTGGTATAGTCCTCAAAAGAAATTTGGAGATTAAGTCCCAAAATTATACTGTCTTCATAAAAAATCCAGAGACAAGCCCCCATGATGATTCAGTTTAGAAATAATATAGTCTAGGGGTCTAGACTGGATCCATTTCCTCTGCCAGTTAAAGAATTAAAAGGCAGGAAAAACCTGAAGCCCAGCAGTTGGCAGTGGAGAAATCTCAAGTACCAGCCTGAACTGCAGACAGGATTAGCAGTTGAAGGATGGCATTTATTGGGGGTGAGGAAACACATACCCACGCATCAGACACACAGAGGAAAAGGCCCTTTACAAAGCAAAGTGGGGACTCGGGAGGCTGAAAAACCCATTCATTAAAAAAAAAAAACAGAATGGAGTAAAAACAACAACAACAAAACGCTAACACAAACATCCACTTAATGAGAAAGGAGGAGGTAGTCCCACCCCAAGTGTCCCGAATCCCTTCGGCCTCCAGCCAGGTTTCTTGGTTTTGTTCCCATTGCCTTCTCCCTTTTACCTTCTCCACGACCTTTTTCAGGTCCTTGAGGGTGGCGTTACTTTCCAGAGTGAGTTTGACTAAGTTCTCCTGGGACACTCCCCGAGCCTGCGTCCTTTGGGCCTTAAGCTTTTGAAGCTGTATCTGGACCAGCTCCTTGTCATTGCGGAGGCACTGGTTCTGCCATTCACTTTCACGGCTGTGCGCTATGATCTTCCCTTTCAGGGTATTTATGGCCTCCTAGAGGGACAGTAGAGGCAACTGACAAAGGGAGACTGGTCAAAGGGTAGACTGGGGACTAAGTGCAGAGTCTGTCACCTTGACCCAACTAGTGAAAGACCCGAAAGAATTTGGGAGAGAAGTGGACAGATGGAGCGCTGAAACGTGTCTCTAGCTGAGCACTGACCTGCAGCTTCTGGATTCTTTTCATCTGTATTTCGATCTCTTTGGAGCTTTTCTCGTCCTTCACCCTCAGAGTCTCAAAGGCAACCTTCCGGTCCTCGGTGGCTTCAGTGTAGTTCTTGAGTGCATCCTGGAATCTTCTCCATAGGTCCTCCACTATGTTCTCCAGTTGTAAGCGAAGAAAGTGCTTCTCCTCTAAATTCTAGGGAACATATCCCAAACACCAAACGCTTGGAGTTACCCTATACAGTCTGCTTACTCCTGCCAGCGATCTTATCCCTCAGGAATCATTTGGAATGATCTGGACATGAACGCATAGGGTTGGGCCCAGTCCCATGAGAATGATGCCAATTAGAAACAGAATGAGAAGACAGGAGGTGGCACACCTCTGTGAGTTCAAGGCCAGCCTGGTCTACAGATTGAGAGTTCTAGGATAGGCTCCCAAAGCTACAGAGAAACCCTATCTTGAAAAACCAAACCAAACAAAAAACCAAAATGAGGTCCAGTGTTCCAAATCTCTTAACCTTTTTTGTTCCTGAGACAGAGTTTCTCTGTGTAGCTCTAGCTGTCTTGTAACTCACTCTGTAGACCAGACTGATCTCAAACTCACAGAGATCCGCCTGCTTCTGCCTCCTGAGTGCTGTGATTAAAGGCGTGCGTCACCACCTGGTTCAGATCTCTTAACTTTTTAAAGGGAAACTGGTAGTTTGGATTTCCATGTGAGATCTTTTCAATGTTCACATGTAGGCAACTATTCAAACTGTAAAGTAAAACACTGTCTACATTAGAAGCATGGTTGGGGATGGAGTTTCCAGTAGAGTGCTTCCCTAGTGTTGAAGCAGGTTGGATGTGATGATGCATGCCTGCTACCCCACTCAGGAGGTGGAGGCAGGAGGATCAGAAGTTTAAGGTAAAAACAAAACAGTAGTTCCAGGTCATCTCCACCACATAGAGAGTGAGTTCAAGGTCAACCCAGGTACAGAAAGATGCTGTCTCAAAACTAAGTAAATTAGTAGATTATTTAAAGTTAAACCAAGAACTCTATACCCAAACTTCTGTATGCTGACTAGGTTTGCAAACTCTATGATGGAAAGAATTATGGATCAAGAGTCTACCGACTTAGGTTTGTTTCTTTATCTACAACTCAAAAGGGTGAAGCCAGGATGATCTCTGGGTTTATTGTTGTTGGCCGTGGGAGTAGGTTTTTGTTTGTTTGGTTTGGGTTTTTCCCTTAAAATGTATTCTCATAACATTTTAGAACAGTCCTGCCTCCCAAGCACTTTTCACAAGATCACAAAGAAGCATGTGGACACCTCAGTGGCAACAGACTTTTATTGACTGTTGGTTCTGGTGCTCTTGCCTAGCTCTGACTACCCTCAACAGTCTCGTCATGTTTCTCTAGATCCCATCCTGCCATCCTCCTCCTGTACCTTGTTTTTCAGATCATCCCACATGCTCTGGAACTCCAGTTTGCTTTCATACTCAGAATCTATATAGTTCTGCTCCATGGCCATGAAGACATCCTGTAGGTAGTGAATTTCTTTCTCATGTTGGTCAATGATTGTCTTCCTATTGGAGACACGATGGATATAGCATGTGGACCAAAAAATGACTAAAAAATTGTAATATAGCTATGAATGGGAAGGTGTGGTGGCCCACTCCTTTAGTCTTAGCCCTTGGGAGACAGAGACAGGCACATATCTGTGACTTAGAGGGCAGCCTGGTCTATATAGTGTGTTCCAAGCCAGCCAAGGATACACAGTGAGGCTGCCTTAAAAAATGAAAACAAAACTATGGATGGTACAAACTTTTAAGGACTGGCAGGGAGGGAGGGAAAGTTTTGTTTTTTTGTTGTTGTTGTTGTTTTTCCAGAAAGAATGAATAAGAATATTTTGATTTTTTAAATAGGAAATACCTTCATATGATACAAAAACAAAAGTATAAGTAAGTGTACAGTGAAACCTCTCTCCCATCCCTGTCTACTGCTGGATGGATAGAACTTTGATAGTTGGGATTAGAGGTATAGGCAGGGACCTGACAGGGGTCAAGGTAGCTGCAGCTGTAAGATTAAATTCAAATTCATTTACAAGGAACTCGGGACCCTCTCTGCCTGGGATTACAATTCGGACCGAGGCTCCTGGGTACTGGGGACAGGCTCTGGGAACTCCCCTGGAGTCAGTCTCTTGACTCTCTGGCCCCTTACCTTT